AGGGCTCTACCCTCATCCCAGGGTTAACAGGATCAGAAGGAGCTGGGAGGGGTTGCAAGTGCTTTGGAGGATAGGATTAAAATTCAAAATGATCTGGACAAACTGGAGAAATGGTCTGAAGTAAATAGGATGAAATTCAATAAGGACAAATGCAAAGTACTCCACTTAGGAAGGAACAATCAGTTGCACACATACAGAATGGGAAATGACTGCCTAGGAGGGAGTACTGTGGAAAGGGATCTGGGGGTCATAGTGGATCACAAGCTAAATATGAGTCAACAGTGTAACACTGTTGCAAAAAAAAGAGCAAATATTCTGGGATGTATTAGCAGGAGTGTTGTAAGCAAGACACGAGAAATAATTCTTCCGCTCTACTCTGCGCTGATTAGGCCTCAACTGGAGTAGTGTGTCCAGTTGTGGGCACCACATTTCAGGAAAGACAAATTGGAGAAAGCCCAGAAAAGAGCAACAAAAACAATTAAGGCTCTAGAAAACATGACCTATGAGGAAAGATTGAAAAATTGGGTTGGTTTAGTCTGGAGAAGACAGAGGGGACATGATAACAGTTTTCAAGTACGTAAAAGGTTGTTACAAGGAGGCAGGAGAAAAATTGTTCTCCTCAACCTCTGAGGCTAGGACAAGCAGCAATGGGCTTAAATTGCAGCAATGGCAGTTTAGGCTGGACATTAGGAAAAACTTCTTAACTGTCAGAGTGGTTAAGCCCTGGAACAAGTTGCCCGGGGAGGTTGTGAAATCTCCACCATTGGAGATTTTTTAAGAGCATGTTAGACAAATACCTGCCAGGGACCATCTAGATCAGGGGTCAGCAACCTTTCAACAGTGGTGTGCCGAGTCTTCATTTATTCACTCTCATTTAAGGCTTCGCGTGCCGGTAATAGATGTTAACGTTTTTTAGAAGGTCTCTAAGTCTATAATATATAACCGAACGACTGTTATATGTAAAGTAAACAAGGTTTTCAAAATGTTTCAGAAGCTTTATTTAAAATTAAATTAAAATGCTGATCTTATCAGTTTAGTGTGATCCTTGCCCTTGCTTTTCCTTGCTGAGTTTTCCAATGTCTGGTGGCCCGTATTTAGATACTTTAAGCTGCACACAGGCTTCTGAGTGATCAGTTGATAACTGGCTGGCAGGAGGTCAGCGGCTGGAACCCCAGATCAGCAGCTGAGGGGAGTGGAGCGGGCGGCTGGTAGGGCTGAGCAGGGCCGGAGGCCTGGCCCTGTCTGGCAGGGGGCCTGCGCTGGAACTTCAACCGGAAGCAAGGTGAGTGGGGCTGCAGTGGGGACCCCGGCTGGCAAGGGGCCAGCAGCGGGAACCCCAGAGCGGCGGCGGGCTGAGCAGCTCAGCCCGCCCTGCATGCCATCAAAAATCGGCTCGCGTGCCACCTTTGGCACGTATGCCGTAGGTTGCCGACCCCTGATCTAGATAATAGTTACTCCTGCCTTGAGTGCAGGGCACTGGATTAGATGACCTCTCGAAGTCCCTTCTAGTCCTACAATTCTATGATTTCAAAGACTATTTCCTTTTTTGTTCTTTAACATATATAACTGCGGGCTACCTTGCTGAGTCCGCATTCTTTAGTGAGACCTCACATAACCATATTTTAGATTTTAACTAGTGCTATATGCATTCCCTCCTTTATAAATCCAAGCAAATTGGCCTAGAAAGATTTGAGCCATAACTTTAAGCAATTGCTTTTGATATTCTAAATTTGTCCCTTTTGGACCAATGCATTCAAATAGCAGGGCCCACATATTCCCACAAGTGCCTTCAAGACAAGTACATCCTTACTCCTTGGAGAAATACTGGAAGTGTGATAAGTGTGTTAGGTACTAAAGAACTGAGGATTCATTATTATAACTACAATAAGAAATCTTGGTGATTTGCAGTGTTCCTTGGTATAACTGCTGAGCCGCAGTCACAGTCTGGGACAATTAATTGCAAGACAGTATTGGTGTGATCAGCACACACCTAGAACATTGGTTGTGTCTACACTTTATTGGTGAAGTGTTGATGGTATGTTGATGTGGTTCTGGGTGCATTAATAAATTGATTGGTTAAGAATAACCAAGTGTTTTGATTTCAGAAATACTGTTCAAGTTAAAAGTTGACCTGAAAAGAACCTAGTGTTAAAGTTAGTAAGCTAATGCTTCCTGGACTCAATAAGAAGGGGTTATCCTATCAGATTCATTTGAATATTGGCTATAGCACTATCAAAATTGGCAAACCTAGTTTGTTAGATTTCAGCTTTAAAATTTAACTGGCATCTTGGCAAATGTATAAAATTGACACACACACACACACACACACACACACACACACACTTACAAAGCACCACAGAAAACGGAAACTAGGATCAGATGATGGCAATGAATATAAATTATAAGTTAAGAAGCGCAGACAGTTAATAAAGGAAGCTACAAAGGTTTCTGTGGAAAATATTTGGCCTGTAGGGTAAAAAACAAAAACAAACAAAAGAATAAAAAGAATCTTAACACTGGTATGGGTCCATTCCTGGTTACAGACAGTAAGTTGTCAGTAATAAAGCAGAGAAGGCAGAATATCTATCTATTATGTATCATAATGAGAAGGTACTTTCTATTTCAATAGTAAAGAGGATTATAAACAGCATCTATTCAATTTAGATTATTGAAAATCAGCAAGCACAGAAAACTTGCACACATGAGTTTTAACTGTTTACCGAGGAGCTCTATGGATCTTGATCGTTTTTAATAAACCTTCAAGAACTAGGGTTAGCTCTTGGGGACAGGGAAAAATCCACTATTGTCCCAATATTTTAAAGGGACAAATGGGATAAGCCAAGCAGTTATTGATCAGACATCCAACCCAAGTAAAAACAATGAAGGGGGTGATAAAGGGCTATCAAAGAATGGAAATATAATCTGTACCAATCAATAGGATTGTACGGAAAATAGAGCTGGTCAAATGAACTTGGTATCTGAAGAGATTACAAGTTTGGTTTATTAAGGTAATGAAATATACTTTGATTTAGCACAGAAAGACTGATTAAAAACTAGCACTACATAAAATCAGTGTAGCACAGTGCGTCTCAAACTTTTTTACTGGTGACCCCTTTCACATCGCAAGCCTCTGAGTGCGACCCCCCCCCCCCCAATAAATTAAACACACTTTATGTATTTAACACCATTATAAATGCTGGTGGCAAGCGGGGTTTGGGGTGGAGGTTGACAGCTCGCGACCCCCCATGTAATGACCTCGTGACCCTCTGAGGGGTCCCAACCTCCAGTTTGAGAACCCCTGGTGTAGCACATATTCAAGGGATTATAAACTGGCTGACATGTCTCAAAAAGTAATTGTCAATAGGGGGTGTTTCAAGGGGAATCTTGCAGGGATCTGCCTTGGCCAATCTCAATTCAAAAGCTATCAAATATTCGGGGGGGGGGGGGGGAATTATTGATATAGCTTGTAGACAGACTGGTTGGGTGATAAATAATAAGGACTGATCACATACACAGCACAAGCTGGACTGCATGGTAAGAGGAGCACAGAAACGTGTATTTTATTTCAGCTAAATGCAGACTTGTATATCTAGGAACAAAGAATCTAGGATGCACTTACTGGTTGAGGGGGCTGCATGCTGGAAAGCAGTGACTCTGAAAAGGACTTGGATCACGGTAGAAGCCAACTGAACATCAGCTTCTAGCATGATGCTGTGCTAAGCAGCTGCTGTGATCGATGATGCATAGACAGGGGATCTCTGAGAAGGAGCAGGGAGAAGGTATTACCTGTGCATATAGCATTGCTGAGACGGTTACTGGACACTGTGTCCAGTGCTGGTGTCCAAAGCTGGAAAGGGTTCAGAGAAGAGCCAGTGGCAGATTCAAATACAGGGGCGTTGTGGTCAAAGCGACGGGTTAGGAAAATGACATTTGCAGCACCATTTTGAATGCATATGACAAATGCACTCTTGCTCACTCAAAGCCAGAGAAGAAGGATGCTGGCAGTAATCAAGAGGCAAGGTGAGAACCTGGACAAGAGTTTTAGCTGTGTGGACGGATAGGAAAGGCCAGATCTTAGAGACATTATGCAGAAAGAATTGGCAAGATTTAGAGACACTGACTCGGAGCTCTCCCTTAGCATCCAGGCAAAGATGGCACTCAGGTTACAGACCTGGGTGCCCAGGTGTTGTCCCCAGAGATGGAGAAAGGCAGTAGAGAGGGGAGGGGGAAGATTAGGAGCTCTCGCTTTGCCAGGTGGAGCTTGAGAACAGCTAGACATCCACGAGGAGATATCACAACGATTTTAGAATAGATCATAATGGCCTCTTCTGGTCTTAAAACCTACGAATCACTTGCAAAAAAACCACCACTGCAGCCCACTCACTTTCCAGCAAAGATTTCCTACAGATTTACTGTACCTTTCACTTCATCTACACGTGAGGAGGGGACCAGTACAACTGGGAGTGGATAGAGAATACAAAGGGGGGATGGGTCACCACTCCCAGAGGTCTGCAAGGAGTCTTGAACTATTTAAGGCTTTGCAGCTGGCCTCTGATTAACCTTAGTGCAAGTGAACAGTCAGACTTGTATGCTGCCTTGTCGCCTGTTAAGGGTCAGAGCCACCCACGCACACAAGGCTGCTTTTTGGTGTGAGCACATTAGCATGGCAGCTCCTGGGGTTTATTTTAAACTGGAAGATCTCAATGCCCATGGCAAGCTTCGAAAAGGAAGATTAAGTCAGTCTGTACTGAAGCAGATCTTGGCAGTTGTGTTAGCAGGGGAGACACCTGGAGAATCTTTGGAGTGGAAGCCTTTTGAATACACATCTGCCCAAGGCATTGTGCAGCCAAAGAGGACGCTGTCAGCAGGATCCCAAGGCAATTTTATTCAAACTTGCGAGCCTACAGCTGCTCTGCCCCTCAGGTGAGAAAGGCCCTTTCAAGTTCGGAAGCTCAGCAAAGTCTGCTTCCAAGTGCTGCTGTGGAGCAGCTCGTACTCACGTGATGAAGTCCAGGAAACTTGCCAATGGCTCATACGCGTGGTTCCTCATGTGACGAAACTCCACCACCATCTTCTCCTTCAGCTTGTCATCTATGACGGAGACAGAAAGGGGGGAGGCTTCGTTGGCCAGGAAGTTCCCATAATCCGTGCTCTGGAGGTGCAGCTTCAAATCTGAAAAGCAGAAACCACTATTCAGGATGTTTTTGTTTTGAACGATCATGGGAAGAAAAAGCTCCAGCGAACACTGAGCATTCCTCCCTTACGCTGGCACACAGTGACACCTGCTGCTCAGAGCGGTACCTCTGCTTTTCTATGGCATAATTCAGCTCATTGTCATTCCTACCAAGTGCAAATCCAAGCCCCGGAAGAGGCCAGCCATTTATCTTAGTCCCAACTTTGTTTTCCTCAAGCAATGCCCTCCCCTTCTACCCTAGAAAAAAAATTGAGGTGTCTCAAACACATCTGTCCTCTCTCTCCTTAACCATTTACATTTGCACGCCCATGTTTATAGTCCTGGGTGCTGATAATCTGCCTACGTTTGAGGGCTACTATCATTCTTAGAGATGTATCTACAAGCACATTTGAAAACCAAGCGCTTTATTGTGCCCAGCAGTGCTTTGGCCTCAGGCTTCATTGCAGGCACCCTTGTCAGTGAGTTTTTAATAGGGAGAAGAAGTCAGGATCTCATGTGGCTCAGATACAGTTATGATGAAAAGGATACATCTGTGAAGAGGCGCGTTTGCTCTGTGCATGGTGCCTTGTACAGATCAAGACACCAATTTCGGAAACCAAGGGAACCCAGACCATCACCTTGGGAATTTCAGAATCTGCTGAAGTGGCAGCAAATTCAGTTTAGTTTTGCAAGCAGGTACTGGTCATCAACTGGATCTGAGTAACACTGCATTATGTTAAAGTCGAGTCTTATGTCAAGGGTCCGAGATGGAGCTGGTGAAGAGGAATAGAATGCGTTTCCTTGGGGAGGGAATGCCTAGTACAAGAGAGTCAAGAAAATCTGAATGATAAAGCAAGTGCACAAGTCCACTCCCCAACTCCAGACACCAGTTCTGTTCCTCAGCTCCCCCTGCAATGCCAGCTGCCCCACTGCAAGCTGCATTGCCAGCCATCGGATAACCCCAATGTGACAATCTCTCCTTTGTCAAGATAAACACTTTTGGCTCAAGTAAGATTTTTGATGCATGGGCTGTAACTGAACTCAAAAATTTTAAGTCATTTAGAATCATTCGTTTCTCAACGGGTTACTAGCTGCTCTAGTACAGAGTGTTCTTCTGCCTTTAGCTTCATCTTGTCAGAGCATTAGTGAGGCAAGCCCATTCTCCTAGGGATTCAAGGGGCTAGAAGTGGAAAGGGATAGGCAGGGAAGTTTAGTTGAACCAGATGTGAACATGCTATCCAAAAACCTCTTCCTGGTTTCTTGGAATCCAAAGTGTTTGAGACACTCTTGCCCTAGCGCTGAATTATGTAACAACTCAGCTTTACTCCAAGAATAAGAGTAGCTACCAAGGTTGGGTGCATATCCATCACCACTGGACAGACTCAGAAATGAGCTAGGTACGTCTAAGGGCCTGATTTTTCTAAACTGTGCCCTTAACCTGTATGCATAGTTACAGCCAGCTACACATGCAGTTACTCAACTACACAACATTCAGAGTAAAGTTTTCACTAGCCAGCATTCAATGGAGCATACATCAAGTGGATTTAAAAAAAAAAAAAAAAAACAGCCGATGAAGCTCAAAGTAATTTTAAAAGAAGAATACTAATCCACTGAGGGCATTTCCAGTGGGGGTCTGGCAGGGATCTGTGCTTGTCCCAATGCTATTCCACATCATTGATAAAGATACTGAAAAAAACATGAAGTCACTGCTAGTAAATTTTACAGATTGCACATTAGTGGAGCACTAAATATGGAGAGGTCATTTCTACAGACCAATCTGGATGGCTTGGTAAAGTGGGTTCATTTGAATATTTTAACAAAGCAGAATGCAAAATTTAAAAATAGAGAATGTAGATCTTGCATACAGGAAGGGGGACTATATCCCGGAAAGCAAAGACTCAAAGGGACTTGAGTGTTATGGTGGAAACCAACCAAACTTGAGCCATAGCATCATGGAGTGCTAAAAAGATTAACAGTCTTTGGACATATTAGCAGGGGAATCTCGAGTAAGGTAAGGAGGAGGTGATATTACCTTTACATACAGCATTGATAATGCCATTACTGGATACTGTGTCCAGTTCTGTTGTCCAAACAAAGAATATTAAATTAGAAAAGGGTTCAGAGAAGAGCCACAAGAATAATTTGAGGTCTGGAAAACCTACCTTACAGTGATTGAGCTCCTTGAGTCTATTTAGTTTATCCAAGAAAAGGATAAGAGGTGCTTGACCATGGTCTGCAAGTACTTACATAGGGAGAAGATTTGACAGTGAAGGGTTCTCAGCTAGCAGACAGAACAAGAGCTGATGATAGGAAGCTGAAGATGGACAAAAATTCAGCTAAAATAAGGTACAATTTAACTAGGGATGTGGTGGATTCTCCATGATTGAATCTTTTAGAAAGATATCTAGTGTTAAATTAAAGACATGATTTCTGCATCAAACCCATAAAAATAGCCAAACTCAGTCACACCAATGATCTAGCTAGTCAGTAGCTTGCCTTCTGGCAGTGGCCAACACCAGATGCTTCAGAGGGAGTGAACAGAACAGGGCATTGAACAACATGATCCACCTCGTTGTCCAGTCCCAGCTTCTGCACTGTACAGGTCAGACTAGATACTCATCCCTTATATTAATTTAACTGTCCATTAGCATGTGCCTTTGAAAACTCGTGGCAATCAGGGGAGGTCCTGGACAATTGGAAAAAGGCAAATCTAGTGCCCATCTTTACAAAAAGGGAAGAAGGAGAACCCGGGGAACTACAGCCTCACCTCAGTCCCCAGAAAAATCATGGAGCAGGTCCTCAAGGAATCCATTTTGAAGCACTTGGAGGAAAGGAAGGTGATCAGGAACAGTCAACATAGATTCACCAAGGGCAAGTCATGCCTGACCAACCTGATTGCCTTCTATGACGAGATAACTGGCTCTGTGGATATGGGGAAAGTGGTGGACGCGATATATCTTGACTTTAGCAAAGCTTTTGATACGGTCTCCCACAATATTCTTGTCAGCAAGTTAAAAAAGTATGGATTGTATGAATGGACTATAAGATGGATAGAAACTGGCTAGATCGTCGTGCTCAACAGGTAGGGATCAACGGCTCGATGTCTAGTTGGCAACTACTATCAAGCAGAGTGGCCCAGGAGTCTGTCCTGGGGCCGGTTTTATTCAACATCTTCATTAATGATCTGGATGATGGGATGGATTGCACCCTCAGCAAGTTCGCAGATGACACGAAGATGCGGGGAGAGGTAGATATGCTGGAGGGTAGGGATAGGGTCCAGAGTGACCTAGACAAATTGGAGGATTGGGCTAAAAGAAATCTGATGAGGTTCAACAAGGACAAGCGCAGAGTCCTGCACCTTGGATGGATGAATCCCATGCACTGCTACAGACTAGGGACCGAGTGGCTAAGCAACAGTTCTGCAGAAAAGGACCTGGGGATTACAGTGGACGAGAAGCTGGATATGAGTCAACAGTGTGTCCTTGCTGCCAAGAAGGCTGTCAAGGCTGTATCCCCACTTTGAACTTTAGGGTACAAGAGTGGGGGCCTGCATGAGGACTCCTAAGCTTAACTACCAGCTTAGCTTTGGTCCGCTGCCACCATCTCAAGAATTCCCTCCCTGGGAAGCCTTGAGAAACCTTTCACCAATTCCCTGGTGAACACAGATCCAAACCCCCTTGGATCTTAAAACAAGGAGAAATTAACCATCCCCCCTCCTTCCTCCAACTCCTGGTGAATACAGATCCAAACCCCCTTGGATCTTATAACAAGGAGAAATCAATCTGGTTCTTAAAAAGAAGGCTTTTAATTAAAGAAAAAGGTAAAAATCATCTCTGTAAAATCAGTATGAAGAATAACTTTACAGGGTAATCAAACTTAAAGAGCTCAGAGGACCCCCCTCTGTCTTAGGTTCAAAGTACAGCAAACAAAGATAACCACTCTGGTAAAAAGGTACATTTACAAGTTGAGAAAACAAAGTAAATCTAAAACGCCTTGCCTGGCTTTTTACTTACAAGTTTGAAATAGGAGAGACTTGTTTAGAAAGATGGGGAGAACCTGGATTGATGTCTGGTCCCTCTCAGTCCCAAGAGCGAACCACCCCTTAAAACAAAGAGCACACACAAAAGCCTTTCCCCCCCCCAAGATTTGAAAGTATCTTGTCCCCTTATTGGTCCTTAGGGTCAGGTGTCAGCCAGGTTACCCGAGCTTCTTAACCCTTTACAGGTAAAAGGATTTGGAGTCTCTGTACACAGAGAGCTGTTACCCTTACCTTTATAGTTATGACAAAGGCAAATGGCATATTTGGCTGCATTAGGAGGAGTGTTGCCAGTAGATCAAGGGAAGTGATTATTCCCCTCTATTCGGCACTGCTGAGGCCACATCTGGAGTATTGCGTCCAGTTTTGGGCCCCCCACTACAGAAAGGATGTGGACAAATTGGAGAGTCCGGCAGAGGGCAACGAAAATGATCAGGGGGCTGGGGCACATGGCTTATGAGGAAAGGCTGAGGGAACTGGACTTATTTAGTCTGCAGAAGAGAAGAGTGAGGGGGGATTTGATAGCAGCCTTCAACTACCCAAAGGGGGGGTTCCAAAGAGGATGGAGCTCAGCTGTTCTCAGTGGTGGCGGATGACAGAACAAGGAACAATGGTCTCAAGTTGCAGTGGGGGAGGTCTAGGTTGGATATTAGGAAACACAATTTCACTAGGAGGGTGGTGAGGCACTGGAATGCGTTACCTGGAGAGGTGGTGGAATCTCCATCCTTAGAGGTTTTTAAGGCCTGGCTTGACAAAGCCCTGGCTGGGATGATTTAGTTGGGGATTGGTCCTGCTTTGAGCAGGGGGTTGGACTAGATGACCTCCTGAGATCTCTTCCAACCCTAATCTTCTGTGATTCTATGTGCATTTACCCAGTTTGTACTGTAATTATAGTAACTGCACATGCACAGTTTAGAATATTCAGTGGGGACCCTTCTGTGGCCTTCAGGGGTGGGGAGAGAA